GTCAGCAATTGACTGTGATCGACTTGTCACGTGCACAGGTGAGCATTTTAAGTATGCAAGTTTTCTCTCATTGCCGAGCCTTGACACAGGCAATCTTGCCAAGGCGCCTTGCCGAAATTCGTGCTGAGGCGTTTGAAGCCTGTGTCTTGCTATGCACAGTAGCGCTTCCACGGCAGCCTCTCAGCATTGGACACAGAGCCTTTGCCGGGCGCAGCAAACTAGTCTGCCTCACCTGCCGAGGCGCTGAGGCCGATAGATGCTGCCTACAGGTAGCAGCCAACGCCTTCGAAGGGTGTCAGGCACTGGTTGTCCCTGAAGGAATCTGCTATCTATCGGTACGGGGTAGACAGCAAAAACACGCAATTTGGGAGTCTCACGAAGAAGACTTTGCGCGGCAAAACTAGGAGAAAACATCCAGATGGCTGCCCGTGCAGTTGTCTCTCGCCAAGCTGGTAAATAGTAACAGCCACTAGCAGCAGCAGTCAAGAAACAACTGCAGCCTGCTGCAGACCCTTTAGGCTCAGACGGGGACACAGAGCAGGTCAGTTGACGTTCGGCCATGCTCGCTGATCACATTTCAGTGTCTAGCTCGCAATGGAGCGAAGAAAGGTCAATGGTTATACATTTGATCTTGACCACATTGTCGGGAGAGGAAGCCCAACTGACTATTGAACTTCAAGAATTCGACCGTCTCCAGGAATTTGAAAGTGCAGTTCTGGAACAACTTCCCGAAATAGGTGACAGCAGCACCTCCGGATGCGAGTTGGACTTTCTCTGCTGCACCTCACAACAGAAGCTGGTAGATCCGATCTGGCACACCCTGCGAGACTGCAATTGCTTTACTGTCGTCGTGAGCCCTTGTCTAGTCGTAGCTGAACATAAGGGACAAATACAAGGCGAGGCCAAAGCCCTGCGAGTCCCGTTCTACTACATTGATAGAGTTTTCCCGCAGCCCTTTCCGTATGTAGCCAAGGTCCGACATATACAGGTGGATGCTGGCTATCGTATCATAGGGGAGTGTTCATGGCACCATTGTCAACACCTCCAAATAGTGCATCTAGCCAGCACAGTCATCAGTCTGCAGACGCGAGCCTTCTACCGCTGCTACGCACTGCGCAGGGTCCTTGCCCCAGGTTGTAAAGAATTTGGAACACAGGTCTTTGCCGAATGTTGCTCCCTGCTGCAAGTCGGACTCAGGAACGATACTACAAATCAACTCGCTCCACAGGCAGAGCTAAGGCCTCGCGCCTTTCATAAATGTACAGCACTGCGACAACTTGACTTCGAGCCTTTGGAGTACAACGCTAACAGTGTGACGCGGGTCTTGCCGGAGTGCTGCTTCCTGGAAGCTGGCCTAACCTCATTAATCTTGCCCTCAGATTTTACATGGATAGGACCGGCCGCATGTGAACGCTGCCGCCACAGGTGGATCTCTCGCAAACAGAGATCACAGAAATTACGAACTGTGCTTTTGCCCACTGTCAACACTTGCAACGCCTGAAGCTTCCAAACAAACTGCGAAAGATCCAGCAGGAAGCCTTCCTCAAGTGCGCCGCCCTGACCGAAGTCAGCGTGCCACCAACCCTGCTCTATATTGCGAGGCGGGCTTTTGCAGGATGCACGCAGCTCAATCGATTCCATCGAACGGGCAAACGAATGACTTGGCGAGGCACATACTCGCGAGCCAATGCTTTTTTAAGATGCGATAACCTAGATATGCCAAAGTGGGTTCGATGGATACCGCGCAATCCAAAAGACGAGGATCAATGGGCCGATGACTCCTTCGCAGTCCTCAACTAAAGGTGCACAGAACCACATATGGCAACGCTTTGCTATGCCTCCCTGCTGGCACCCGTGTGCTGGCCCTACCTCTGCTAGAGGCCATCCTTGCTGAGTATCCAAACGAGCAACTTGCCCACTGCACAAACACCCAGGGCTACTTTCAAGAAAATGTTGACAATTCGGACCTGGAGGATAGTAGGACCAATTGCCACACACGGCTACAAAGAAACATCAACACTTGCTTGCTAGCCTCTTAGACTAGCACCCGTGTGTTGGTCCTAAGAGTGCCAATCAATTTCGTTTTGCTCTTCGCTTTCGTTGGCCTGAGTAGCTAGACAGTGCCCAGGCTGCTACCCGCGTAGTGGTTCTGGATGGGTACAGTGTACAGAATTAGGAAAACGGCGTTTCGCTCTGTTTCACCTATTTTCGTGTAGTTCATGGGGCCCTGCATGGATCGGCCGCATCATATCTGGCCGCGTTTGAAAGATCTTGTCAGGTTTCCAAATGCGACATTTTTGCAGCACACTTCAGAAGAAGATGCCTTTCTCCCATTTCGTTTGCCTTCGCGCAGCACATCTTGCTCTGCTCTCGGTGATGAGCCGTGTCGGTAGTAGAGTTCAGGATCTGCTGCCTTTGTGCCTCTCCCTCGTGGGGAGGAATGGGAGGAGCAACCCCCCTCGCCTCTTTTTGAAAGCTCGCCAGTGGCATTACACTGTCTTCGCTATCGGTATGTTGGACATCCCGAGAATGGGGACTGTGGTCTTCCCAGTTTGTCACGTCTTTGCGTGCATGAGGCAGGATGCTGCCGGCTGTCACGCAGGCTACCTGACTGAAAACAAGTCCAAGATAGAATCTCGTGGGCCATGCATGTAAGTGCACTGTGAGGTCGGTCATAGGTCTCCTTCGTGCTCTTATGCTAAGCCTGCCTGTGAAAGACCTTGGCAACTAAACCAGCTGCTGAATGGTGATACCCACTTCCGTGGGCAGCAGCTCATGCATTGATGTGCCTGTTCTGGCTCATCCTCTTGCCAGTTCGTCGATGGACAAGGACGTCTGAGGACTTTTGCTGAATTCACTGCCCCTGTTTCACTCTTTTCATGCCTACCTGGCACCTCGAGTTACTCTACAGGTTGCTCCCTTTCCGTTTTGTGTGGTTTTTGGTTGTGTTTGGGTTTTGTGGGGGCTTGTTCGGTTTTCTTTCTTTCCCTGTTCGGTTGCAACCTGGCTGGTAACTCTCTTTTCACTCGACTAAGGTGACTTGTGCACAACCTGCACACACAGCGCCTCCACTCGTGCAAAAAAAAAGGCAAAGGCAAGGGCAAAAGCCAGTATCAGGGTAGCTGGCAGAGCAGCTGGAACCAAGGATGGGGACGATCCTGGACCTCAGGTTCTTGGGACTGGAGCGGATCCGGATGTTCCTCGTGGCAGGGAGCAGCTGCCTTGTCATCTTCCTCCGACTGGTGGTCTGAATCCAAGGGAGGATGGTGGAGCCGATGAGATGCCATATAAGAAGGGATTGAAGAAGCAGAGATTACCCTCTGGCCATCCGGACCGGAAGGTCACGCCGGAAATCAAAATTCGTTGGCGTGTCAATTTCCATGTCCACATGAAGCGAGCGGGAACGCTCTGCCGTGACTCCTTCAGTCAGCTAAGTTTGCGTGTAATTCGATGGCGTTTGCAATCTGCGTACGTTTCTCTCGAGGTTGGAACGGTAGGAGTTCCCGATGAGACAAGCGTGCCGGAAGGCATCGCCGTCATTCTTTGTGAGACCTCGTTGCTTGTTGCGACTTTTGAGGTACTTTGCCAGACCTGCACAAGCGAAGACTTGTCGCATGCTCCGCACCAGTGAAAAAGGATCGATTGCCAGATTTGCTCTCGTCTTGAACTGATAAATAAGAGCATTTTGCATTTGTGCCGACTTGCAGCATTCGCATGGAGTAGTTCGAGGGTTGTAGTGCGGTTTGATTTCATCGCCGCCTGAGGTTGGTACGTGACCACTTCGTGACTCCCTCTTCGGTGCAACGCGGCAAAGCCGCTCCGCGCCGCGGGGGGTGTTTTTGCTAAGTGTCACGTACACTACTGTATATACATACCTCTTACCCCGGACTTTGGCTCAAGGAAAAGCTGTGCGCTATTGGCTGATTTCCTGTAAACATAGTTGCGGCTCTCTGTTGAATTGCACGCCACGTTTTTTGTGTGTGGAAATTCTACAGCAACACACCATAGTGCGATTTTAGGTCGTCACGCCAACAAACTTGGATGCGAGTGAAAGACTTCTTGGCTGTGGACAAAACTGGCTTTATGGCTGAACCACAGTGCGTGGAAAAAATAGGCATGAGAGGGTTCAGTTTGCAAGAGATTTCGATCGTCAGCGGCGCGCGTTTAGGACCACCCGGCGTGTTGTTTAAGTGAGAAGTTGTGAAGTTGCGTGATGTTCCCATGCCATTGAAGACTGTTGCCTCAAAATCCACAAAGAAGAGGTGGTTTTTTGCTTTCAATCAATTGCAGTTCAATCTCAGTTGGCAACAGTCATGCGACTGGAAGTGCCGTGTGTGTGTGTGTGAGCAAACAGGCACAAGACTCGCATTGGATTTATTGACGTTTTGAGGATGTTTTTCAAGCTTCCATGAAAGGAGGGAGGCCTTGAGTTACAAAGCGGCTTGCAGGCTCAGGTTGTTTTGTTGCAAGAACTGAGCAAGATGATTTGTTGTTGTTCCACCAAGTGGAAGCGGCGGTGAAGTTGCGTGATCTCCCCATGCCAATGAACACGTCCCTTCGGAATCCAAAAAAGGGAAGAGTGATGTTGCTTTGTGTTTTTTGATTTCAGCCAACTGCAGTTGCAGGGCAGTTGCACTGGATTTAGGAACTCCGGTCGGATTTCATGCTTAAAAGAGCGATGCAAACCCTTGTAAGGAGAGCTTGTTGGGAGTTTTTTGTTCGTGTGCGTTTTTGGCAATGTTTCCACACAATTGATCTATGTAGATTGTTCTTTCCTGTTTCTTTTTCTGTTTTGTTCGGAGGTTTTTGGCATGCTTGTTTTGTGAGTCCTTCAGAAAACATCAAATTTTGGACCCCGTGGTTTGGCATGATCTTGATTTCAATCAGGCCTTGGTGGTCGCTGTGAGCTTGTGTGACGCGCGCGGAACATGTCTGCATCAAACCGTTGTTATGATTCAGCCTTCGAGGTTGAAGAACCGTTCTGTTGTTTTCGGTTCTGCAGCAGAATCCATTCGTTGGACCGTCCTTGCGTGCCATGCCGATGTTCCTCCTTACGCTGTTCCTATTGGTGGAATCGGCGGAACACTGCGAAAACTGTGAGTCTACAGCCTTCCTGCAATACCGAGAGGTGACTCACGTGCCTTGGGAACCATTTGCGCAGGTGGTTCCAGATCTCAAGATTTGAGATCTTAAAATGCTGATGCATTCATTGGATGATCATGAATTCTATTGGTCCGAAAGATTCACTTTCCCAAACTGTGCGCCAGGTCCGAAGAAAGGTACCACTTGTACGACAACAAGACAAACCGGTCTGTCCGGGTTTAACATATTTTTTTTCTTTGATGGTTATTGGGATTCTTAAGGATCGTGCATTTGATGCCACATTTGTTTGGTTAGGTTTGAACTGGTTGCAACAGTGTTGAAAAGTTGAATAAAGGATTGTGCCTCAAGAATGGCCATTGTACCAACACATGTTTGCCACTGTGGAGTCATGAGGGTCGATCTGGCAAAGTCTTCGAAAACTACACCGAAATGGCGACATGTCAATGAAAATCGTACTGAGACCAGACATCATCTGAGGGCTTGGATCTGATGACGACGAACACAACGGGAGGACATTGCGAGAAATGCGTCTGCGAGTTTCTCGAGAGCATCCCGGAATGCGGCTATGACGCCTGGCTGCCGGACAACCTATGTATATATACACACGTTCTTCTAGTCTAGAGAATTGGTGCATCAAGCAAAACATGAGAGGCATGTTTGACAATCGAGGCCCTAAGGACACACGAAGCTAGTCAAACTTGAGGGTGCCAGCGGACAGCGAAGAACACCTGAACCCCCCGCATGACACCAAATGGTGAGCGTTGCTTCTCAGCGTGACCTGAGCGGGACGTGCCAAATTTCAGCGGCACTTTTTTGATTTTGTTTGTTTAACATGGTTGCCAATCACCTTTCCGTCACGGTCACGGCCTACGGTGGAGGCATTTTTTTTCCAAGAATCTCTTCAGCTTCTTTGAGGACAACGGCATGAACCCGGTTCTCTCCAAACCCCTCGGATCATCGAGCGGTTTTTCTTTTTTCTCGCCCGGTCAGGAGGTGGTGAAGGATGCGACGAAGTGCGGAACTGAAGTGGGGAAATGCACTTGGGCACCTTGGAGAGGAGAAAGTTGGAGGTGGAGTTGATTCCTTATCACCTTCACGCATAGAGTGTTTCGGTGCAAACGGTTGAGCTTTCGCGTGCGCATGCACAGTAGAAATTGGTAGTCCGTTCACCCAAAGCCTCCCTTTGGTCAGTACAGTAACCTGATGTTTAGCCGTGTCTGCGCGCGCAGACACGTGCAGAGCGGCATGGTGAATACGAGGGATGTGATGGCAGAGAAGTCAATGGCCATGGCTGTTTTGGTTGGTCCAATCAGTGTTTGCATATGGAGTGTTGTAGGATTGTTGAGGTCATAGGCCTCTTAAAGCGCCTGATTCGGGTCTTCCTTTTCCTCAAGCCTGCAAGGCGACACCACCACGTTCCTAGTAGTTGAACACTTGAGTGGCCCGTGTTTTCCATTTTTGTCGTTGTTTTGAAGGATGCACATATATAGTTCTAAAGTCTTGTTGGTCTGTCATTGACTGTCAGCATGACCCCAACGTGACATATAGCAGATGAAGCGCTAGTCCTGCTTGGCGATTTGGCTTACCCACTAGCCAAGTACAGCATCAATATCAGCGTTCCCCTGCGAAACTAATCTTCAATATCACTCTCATTGCATGGGTGTGACACAAACCCAATTGAGCCGGGTGTGTCTTCTTCAAATTCACGACTGCTCCAACCGCTCCTTTCGGTCCTTCTCTTGGAGACCCACATTCAATGCAGCAGGGGTTTGAGGGAAAGATGCCGAACGGGTGCTGCTGGTGTGGAACTCGAGTCCATGGACCTCTAATGAAGATGTTTAAAGCTGTTGTTCTTCATATGGAAAGTTGTTCTTGCCTGGACTCTCTTTATCAGTGGCCCTGCGCAGACTGTACGTGCTGTGCCTATTGAGCTTTGTTTTGGTCCTCCTGGCTTTTGTACTGGTGATCTCTTCACACCCGCGTTGCAGCGCCGCAGTCCATCGGTTCCAGATTCTCGGTAACCTCATTTCTGTGTTCCATCCTGATTCTCTGACTTTCTTGAGAGATACAGTATTGCATCTCTCAAAAAGATGCCAGACATCGTGTAGATGTTATTTTTTCCTGCTTCTTTTATTCATGCTGTGTTCAGCCTGTTTTTTTGCAGAGCTTTTAGAAAAGCGTGGTGCAACACTACACCTGATGGCCTAGCAAAGCCTGGGACTTCTGAGCCCAGAATGGACTCAGGTGATTATCAAAAAGGGTGCGAAGTGCATCTTGAAGCCGAAGAAATGCAAGAAGAAGGTTTGTCAGCAGCTCTCTGGCATTTGAAGAGTCTGTTTCAGTTGGCAAGAACCATACAGTTCAACCAATATTGCCTCCAAACCTGATGAAGCAATCGCTAATCTCATGTATAGCTGTTTCAGTTCGACCACTTTTCAAACCCCTAGGCATATCGCCAAGACATGCCCAGTGGGGAAGAACTGCTTCAAGAAGATGCCTTTCGACCGGTGCCTAGATGAGCTCTCTGGAAGCAGCGACATGGTGAAAACTGCCGCACCATGTCTGCAAGAAGTTACAGTCGACTGCAGAAAGCCGCTGCAGACTAGCCACCTGCTCCGCCTGCTCCGCCTGCTGCGGAACCACGGATCGACCGCGTGAGATCAGACCCACCGAGTCCTGTCAGGTGAACGCCTTGAAGACGGCCAAGACCTTCGTGGTCAAAGACTTGAAACGACGCTCAGAAGGCGAAGGCTGAAACGGAGCAGAAACAGACGCAAGTGTTTCGGTGTGTTCTTTTTTTGAGTGAAAGAGAGGTGTATCAAGGTGTATCACCTAAGTTAGCTGGTTGTTTCAAAGGCGTTTTCTCCCAAGAAAAAGCACTTAAGCACTTTGCAAACTTTTGGGTCTGGTGAGATATCAAAACTTTAGTCCCAGAGTCTCACTGGAATCTATGAGTGGCTTGATGATGCGTGCATGGTGTGTCACCATCCCCTGTAGTGTTTGGCATAAGCATCTCATGTGCTGCATATCAAGCAGCTGGAGGGGCTGGGGGGAAGTGGTGGATGTGACATGCCAAATCGCCAAATCAATTCATTAGCAGTTGAACATTCTACCGGCTCAAGCGCTGTTCCAAGGAGATGTGCTGCGTGGGCTGACGAGCGTAGGGAATGACTTGCTAAAGTTTCTCACTGACACCTTCCCTGGAGTCTCAGCGCAAGACCAAGGTGCCGCCGCGATGTTGACAGGAGCAGGTTACCACTTTGGGCAACTCTTGTGCAACGCCAGTTGCACCAGGCAGCTCTTTGAATGTACTTGATACATGTGTTTGGACGGATCTCCAGGTTGTGCTGTAGATTAGTTGCCCCTCTACAAGTGGTAGTGGGCGAGAATCCACAGTCTGGCCTCTTTAGTCATGTTGTTGGACTCATGATTCCGGCTCCTCATGCAAGGAGGGATTGAACAGCTTATGAAACAGTTCAACGTCCTTGACATGGCCAACTCATTCTTGAAGATGGCGCCAAATCTGCAGTTGTTTTCAACAGGCCCTGCATTTTGAGTTGTGAGATATCTGACCCCAGACTCCTGAATGTTTGTCAAAGATTGCAGTGTTGCGCCAATCAAAGTCAAGTACGTTGTGTGTTTTGGTGCCTGGCATCGCTACTTGGAACCCGGGCATCGCTACGAAGGGAGCAAGGACGCTACGAGGGGCTCCTGGCCTTACTACTAGGAGCAAGAGGACGCTGCTAGTTAGGAAGATCCCAAAGTCAGCCGAGCCCGGGCTGAGCCCCCCCCACAACATCTGGTCCCCTCACCGGTGGATCATCTTCAGGTCATCCATATTTATGAGGATTGCTATGATGGATTGAAGTCCTTCTTCAAGAAGGTGATGAAGATCTTCCAAAAAGCGCCTCGAGATGTTCGGGGGAAAACGCCCTCTGCTATTTTACAGCTTTTTGAGCCAGCGTTTCCGAGCCGAGTCGTTACATTTTGTGGGATAAATCTCTGAAGATTGTGCCTATGTGAAACAATCAGCACGAATTGGGCAGGCAAGAGCAAGAGCTGTCTTTGTTAAGGATAACCCTGCACAAAGATTGCCAGCGGTGGCAAGAAGTGTAGCGTGGGAGAATTGGGTCATCTCGACGTTGCAGAGTCACCGGCAGCAAATCCGACCCCTGGTCCGAGGCCACGAATGGTCCCTTAAAGCTTCCTCGGAACAAAGATGGAGAGCACTGCGCGTTGAAGTGGGACATGACGATCTTCTTCTACACGGACTGTGGCTTGCGAGCATACAGGATTGGCAATGAATGTGGCAGGTCCTTTTTTGTTCGTACAATCACAACCACTATCCACTAGACATATCAGCAATGCCACAAAGTGCCTTCTGCCACTAGCTGTTTGGTAGTAGGGTGTTTTCACAAGTTCTTCATGCCGTAGCAACTGCACCTATCTTATGAGCGGAGAACAAAGGGGCAGAAGAAGGCCAGCTTTTGATAGAAACAAGACATTTAAGTCGTATGAAGGTTTTGGGAGTGATCACGAAAGGTAGCCCTTTAGGGGATACCTTGAGTTTGTCTTGCGAAGCAAGTGTTGGGACGTCCGGGTCTAATAATTGATCGCTCAATTCAGACCCCCCCCCTGAAAAGTAGAGCCTACCTGTACAGGGTTCCACTCCAACAGCCGATATAGTGTGTCCATACTTGACTGCTTCAAGACTCAAAGAGCAAGAGGATAAGACTCTGCGCATAAAAGACACTAGCGGTCTGCACCTCTACCGTGTACGCCCTAGTCACTCTTTCAGTGGTAGCGGAGCAGTGATCCTGGAAGACCCAGGTGAGCTCCTTTCCTAGGCATAGAATTGCTTGTGGGCAAACGGCCATGGATTGGATTGACGACTGGGAAGAGCCTGATGCGGATGTGGCTTATGAGCCAGCAGCCTACGTGAATAGGCATGTGAGAAGAGAACCAGCAGCGATAGCAATGACAACACAGGTCACTACAAAGGTGCCCCCATCTTATGATGGAAAGACTTCATGGTTTTCCTATGAGGATGCCATAGACGATTGGTGTGATATCACCGAGCTGGAAGATGAGAAGAGAGGACCAGCATTGAGAAACCGACTAGAAGGAGAAGCAGCTGTATACAAGCGAGTTTTAGACAGAGATGCATTGAAGGCTAATGAGCCACCAGGAGCTGGAGTAGATTACTTCAAGAGAGTACTACGACCATATTTTGTGAAAGGATCAACCAATGTATTCCTATACAGGTTTATGCAACTCGTGCGATTCAATCGAGGATCAGCCGACATGATGAAATGGATGACAAGATTCCAGATTTTACTCCAAAGGCTTATGAGCAGTTGGATGGACATGTTAGAACCAGTCACTCAAGCACATCCACAAGTCCTAGCTCAGATGCAGGCAGATGCAGCGTTGACTGGAGTAGCACCAACGGCAGAAAGGATTCAGGAAATCATGCAGACCATGAATGGCAATATGAGAACTTTTCATCAGAATGAATTTCCTCTAGGAGAAAATCTCATTGCCTTACTCATGCTGTCACTTGCAGATTTGTCTCAGGACCAGCGAAACACTTTGACTTCTTTGATGACTCATCGTGGCAGGGTCCTGCAGCAATACACTACAACAGAGTTGAGGACAGTTTTCATTGAGATGTTCTGCACGACAAAGACTTCAGTAGACAATCCTTTGATGCAGCCGACAGGTGCTGGAGGTAGAAGATCATTTCTCGTACTAGACGAAGGAGAACTCGATGGTACATATGGCTATTGGGCCGAAGATGAAGAAGATGGAACAGAAGGATTTTTAGATGCCCTGGACGATGTCTTTTGGGTATATGATGATCAAAACTTCTCGTGGTTCCAAAGGAGATTCCAAGGAAGAAGAGCCAGAAAAGGCAAAGGAAAAGGAAGAAGAAAAGGAAAAGGTAAAGGAAGATCAGGCCGCAGATTCTTCAGACCTCGTGGAAAAGGAAAAGGAAAGAGACGAGGTAAAGGCCATTTTGCTGATGAGCAACAGACAACTTTTCCAGATGAATACTTTGAAGAGAATCCTTATGAGGACACTTGGGAGTCAAACCAAGGAGCATATGATGCCATTCTTGCCGAAGATATGAATGACTATCTTCAAGGAGAATATGATGATGCCAATGACTTTTGGCAACAGCTTGAAGAAGCATGTTTTTTCCACAAAGGAAAAGGAAAAGGCAAGAGAAAAGGCAAGAAAGGAAAAGGAAAAGATAAAGGAGATGGCAAACAAGGTGCAAACTATGCAAATCAACAACAGCCACGTTCTTTGACTGCACCTTCAAGATCTTCACAAGCATCAGGAGGTCAACAAGGTTTCTTTGCACATTGTGTGACAGCAGCAGCTGAAGTCCATGACAGTGAGGTGAACTTGCTGTCAGGCATGATGACCTCATGTCAAGATGAAGCTGACTGCGCGGTCAACAATGGTGAGACGATCTTCAATGGCATGAGTGCCCCTGTGAGGTACTCTTTGTCAAAGGAGATGCTCACAAAGGCTCCTGATGGCTTTGCGCTTATGAGCGCTGAGGAAGAAGTGAAGGAGATGCAGGCCATTTCATTTTTGACTGAGAATCGCTTCCCGCCGACTATTGCAATCCTGGACATTGGATGCACTAGAGCTATGGGATCAAGGCGAGCAGTCGACCATTTTTGCAACTATGTCGACAATCACCCAGATTGTGGATTATGGTACTCTTTTGAGGCTACCAAGAGCAAGTTTTACTTTGCAAATTCCCAGAAGGCTACTTGCTCTCAGAAACTGGTGATTTACATGTATGATCGTGCATGGACGATCCACCATACAGAGTTCGACATAGTGGAAGAAGGAGAAGTCCCGTTGCTTATGAGCTTGCCACAGATGAGGAACTTAGGCTTTGAACTCAGGCTGACACCTCAACATGCTTATCTGACATCGGTGCCTCTTGGTATCAAATATTTGGAGTTGAAGGTTGCAGCCAGTACTCATCTTGTCTTGGACTTCCAAGATATTGCATGGTATCTGTCTGACGTGAATTTGCAGACTCGGCGCGAGAAGAGTTTTTACTCTCACTTCACTCACTATGAATATTTCTGTTGACCACAATAGTGATGAAGATGTAGCTGAACATGCATATCCTGTGGTTGACTACTGGGAAGTAGATGTTCACACGACAAAACTGATACGTCACCACAAGGATTATAGAAAGATTCTTTTTCCAGCAACTAAGTCCTGTCCTGTAGACACTGACTTACTGGAAGACTTGCGACTGACAATCATCAAGAAGAAGAAAGGAGGAGAAGAGATCAAGAAGCAAGATGATTGGCGCAAGGCAAAATGGAAGGACCTACAAATTGGCTATGAATGGCGTGGTAGAACAATTTTTAAGTTCAAACCAGATGCCAAAATTCCAGATCTAAAGATCAGGAAGGCTGGCATTGAGCACCGTGGCATTGGTGATCCTGATGCAGTGGTGCGCTCCTCCTCAGAGAAGGTTCCCATTGCAAAGGACAGGGAACCAGGCTTCTCGTCAGAGAAGGAAGGTGCACCATCAAGTGCCGCGGAAAAGCCCGCGCCGCCAAAGTTTCGGTATACTTCCAAGGGTTTTGATCCATTTTGGAAGGGACACAAGTCAAAACCATCTGAGCCTCAGAATGATTTAAAGGGTGATGATCTTGAGGAGTATGCTCCCTCAGAACCACCTGAGAGGCCAGAAGGTGAACTTGTAGAAATTCCTAAAGCATCAAAAGGACCATCAAGTGATAAATATGAACCACTTGAACCAGGTGATGGCGCTCTTGAGCCTAGGCGGATTTCAATCCCATTACCTGGTAGTGAAGTTGTTGCAATGACACCGGCATATAGGAAGATGTTGCAGAGACTGGAGGACAAGGTAGAGCTTTATAAGCTTCATGTGAAGCACTACCATATGAGTCCTACTCAGTTTCGTAGACGTGTTTCTATGTTGAAGCTTCCTGACTCTGTTTTAGAGAAGTATGAATCAGTTGTCAGGAACTGCCGTGTTTGTAACACTTCAGTGGCACCTCCGCCACGAGCCAGAGTCTCCGGTATTAGAGCTTCATGTTTTGGTGATGTTGTTTTTGCTGATCATTGTGAGGTTGAACTTCACAAGAACAAGTATATCATTCTACTTGTTCTTGATAGTGCCACAAATCTTCTCTGGGCTACGGCGCAGAAAGACCTCATAGATCAAACCACCATCCAAGCATTGAGGCAGTGGTCTGATGAGAACAACTGTGTTCCGAAGGCCATCGTAGGAGACGAAGCCTTTTTCACCGATGCTTTTGTTGAATACTACAGGTTTTATGGTATACAACAATGTCCTTGTGGGCCAAGAACTCCTTGGCCAAACCGAGCAGAGACAGCTGTACGTTTGTTCAAACGTATGTGGCATGTTATGAAGGTAGATCTGGATGACCCACGTTTTCGTGGTGTTACGGTCAGAGAAGTGGTCAAGAAGGTAGTTTGGGCAAGAAATTGTCAGTTGACTATCAGTGGATATTCACCAATAGAGATAGCAACTGGAAGACGTCCACCAGATCTTTTTGACCTTGAGACCGCAAGCCCTGAGCAATTGTCAGCTGATGCAGCCGCACAAGATCGTACAAATTTGGAACTACAACGTGTGGCTTTGAGAGCTCATCAAGAAGCACGACAAGCTCAGGACCTTCGAGCAGATCTTGCAAGAAGGACTATGCCAAGTGACGGTCCTTATTTCCAAGGAGAGAAGGTTTTTATTTGGACTCAGGATTCATCAAAGTTCAAGGATAAAGGACGTTGGGTTCGTGCCACAGTACTTGGACAAGAAGGAGCTATGGTCCAAGCCAACACTGGTAAGGCAGTAGTACGTGTGAATCAGTCAAAGGTTAGAGGTGATCACGATGAGTGGCATGATGTTTCCATACCGGCATTAGACGATGAGAATCCGGAGAACTTACGTGAAGATCACGAACTGTATGTTGATGCCGAATTTGGAGAACAGTCCTTTTTCTTTTGTAATGATGATCATCCTGATGTTGTTGAGTTACTTCATGGAAACAGTGGATTATCTTGGTTCCTTTCAAGGAATGGTGTTAGAGTTGCATCTCCTATGGATTTCAAGGCAGGATACAACTTTTCCACTCTGAAGGGTCAAGATGGTATTTGGCAGCAACTTGAGAGTTTGCAGCCCCACTGTATAGTGATCAACAACCCTTCTCCCAAACAGAACAGAGCTTCGATTTGGTTGCTATGTTGCAATGTGATCGAGTGGCAGTTGAGAAGGAAGAAACATGTGTTTGTGACTGTTACCAAAGGAAACAAGTTTT